TCCTTATGGGGTCTTCGCTGCGAGATCATATTCATCCGGTACTATACCAGCTGCACTGGCTCCCGGTGGAGTACAGGATCAGGTTTAAGGTGCTGGTTTTAACCTTTAAAGCCCTATACGGCCTAGGACCCTCGTACCTACGGGACCGCCTCTCCTGGTATGTCCCACAGAGAAATTTACGGTCTGTAAATAAAAACATCCTGAAGATCCCAGGCCACAGAGAGGTTAGGCTGGCCTCAACTAGAGCCAGGGCTTTCTCGGCCGCGGCTCCAATCTGGTGGAACGCTCTGTCACAAGAGACTAGGGCCCTGCAGGACCTGACATCTTTCCGCAGGGCCTGCAAGACAGAGCTGTTCCACCAGGCCTTTGATCAGGGCGCAGCCTGACCCCCTCCTCTGGCAATCTGCACAGAATGTTGCTTAATGGTTGCCATCAATTTGATTTTAATTTGATTTTAATTAATTTTATAATGAATGTTTTTAGAATGTTGGATTATTTTGATTGTTGTTAGCCGCCCTGAGCCCAGCTTTGGCTGGGGACGGCGGGATATAAATAAATTTTATTATTATTATTATTATTATTATTATTATTATTATTATTATTAAATATAAGGGTGGCTATGCAAGGGTGGCTGTGGCTATAGGAAGTGCTCAATATTTTTTTTATATAAAAAACATGCATGGGAGTTGCTGGTTCTGTGTTGAATCTACAGGTGACTTTATCCACTACATCCAGTTTTCTAATACAGCCAAAATATTCTGGGAAAAGGAGAACGAAACAGCTGTGCAAATAATGCTTGCTCAATTACTTTTAGACATTTTAGTATTTTTGTTGAAACATCTAAAAATGATTTCCTTTGTACAATTACAAGATCCATTACATCTGGTTGCAGCAAGATTACCTTTTTATTAGAAAGCAAGCACTGAACCAAGTAAAACCAAATGGTTTAGAAAGTTATCGGTGATAGCCAATGCCAGTAATATTCAGAGTAGACTCAATGTGAACTCAGTGAGCCTAAGTTACATAAACTCATTCATTTAAGTAGGTCTACTCTAACTATTAAGGGACGCTGTGGTGGTGCTGTGGGTTAAACCACAGAGCCTAGGACTTGCTGATCAGAAGGTCGGCAGTTTGAATCCCCGCAAGAGGGTGAGCTCCCGTTGCTCGGTCCCAGCTCCTGCCAACCTAGCAGTTCGAAAGCACACCAAAGTGCAAGTAGATAAATAGGTACCGCTCTGGCAGAAGGTAAACGGTGTTTCCGTGTGCTGCTCTGGTTCACCAGAAGCGGCTTAGTCATGCTGGCCACATGACCCAGAAACTGTACGTCGGCTCCCTCGGCCAATAAAGCGAGATGAGCTCCGAAACCCCAGAGTCAGCCATGACAGGACCTAATGGTCAGGGGTCCCTTTACCTTTACCTTACTCTGACCATTAGTAACATTGGATATTATCTTATTAAGAGTTACTTACTGCAATTAAGTTCACAATCACTCACAGGTCACAGCTACAATATCTATAATAGGTAATTGGAGTGTAATTACTTATTTATTACTTTCCTTAATTTCACAGCTCACCATACAATCCAGTAGAATTATCAGCATTTTACGGAATATTTTGCCTTCACAGCTAGATTAGGCTGGGCATCCTATGTGCATCAGATGTTAGCTTGCACAGCTCATCATACATTTTTCATACAGCTGTATTTCTGTACTGTGCATATTTTTTGTTACCAGCTGAATTTCTGATTCTCACCTATGTCATCAGGACTTTTGTGATGCTCTTTGCTCCAAAGCCATAGGTTTCTCTTTCATTCAGACCAAGAGAGATCAATTGTGTGTGCCTCCTATAATTTCTGTAGCATGTTCTTTTTCCCTAATTAAGAAATGTTCTTCAATATTCCAAAACTGGGGTAGCTATTTTTAAAAAGTAATCTGACTACCAGAATATCTTAACTGCACCATTGACAATTAGGGGATAGAGGGGGAAATCTCCAAACTTGAAATGCTCACACGAGAGACAGGTCAGATTTCAGGTTTATGGGATTTTCATCCACCTTAAACCATGTCTAGGGTTTTATAAACTACAGGGCATGGAAACTTTTTTCATGGTGATGATTCATGGGGCTACATGATGTTTCTCTAAGCCAGTGATCAGCAAAGTTTGCTTTCACAGGATGTGCTATCTTCAATGAAACTGGAATAGGGGAGATTCACTGTGTGGGTGTGGTCCTGTCTACCTTATAAAGTGCTGTGTCTTCATGAAACAGCCATCTGTGTTTAGTTACACAGTTTATTTGAAGACAGCTATTTCTGTCCCATTTCAAGGAAGATTCCATGGCTGGAGTCCTCTGAGTCCATATGGCAACCCCCAAAATAGTTCTTTCCTTAAAACTTACACACACACACACACACACACACACAGGTGCAAAAGAATAAAGTAAACAAAAGCCAAACAGTAAAAAAAAAAGAGAGAACTTGTTCATGTCTGTGCTATGTGTGCATGTGTGTATAGAAAAGGCAGAAGGAGCAGAAATGGGCGGGAAAGAGACAAAGGTTGCCTTTGTCTGATAAATGCATTTTCCAACCATTTCCCCCAAATGTGTAATAAATCCACAAGGCTTGCAAACCATTTCCCTTCAGGCAAACAAACACCAGACCTGAAATGCTCTAGATGTTTGATTAAAATAATAATAACATTACAGTTCCTTTGAATTGTTTGAACCATCCTCCCATGCTGCCTTTAGGAAGCTGCCATCAGTTAACACTGACTAGCAATGGCTCTACAGGCTTACTTGGAGATGCCAGGTATTGAACCTGGAACCCTCTGCATGCAAAGCATGTGTGATCTGATGGGGCTACACCCAATCTCCTTGGTAAGCAACATAAACAGAGCCAGTTGCTTAGTTCCTCCCCAATCAAAATATCTGTCCTTCCTGACCTTGCAGTGATATGCTAGGAAGGTGTCAAGTAATTGGTTCCTATATTTCTATATTCAGATGCTTACCAGAAACCTAAGAGAAGGTGTCTGGAAGTATGGACTGTATAAGTGTGTGTGTGTAACAGCATGTTACTATATATATCCCTTTATTACCTTTGTCTCTCTTCCCTCCTTCTCCCTTCATGTAGTATAGAAGACAGGCAGTCTGGTATATGTCCATGCGCTTACAATACTTTGTAAAGCACTGATAGTACTGGGGAAATAAGAATTGTGTCGTTGAAATAGCCCTCCTAAATCTTTGTGTTATGAGTTGACATTGGTATGTTGCAATTTTTTCATACACTGGTGATTTTAGATGCAGAAGTGGCCTGAATTAATTGTAGCATGACTTTAATATGGGGAAAGGAACTGAATTTGATTGATTTACTTTTACCATAGGTGCCGTCTTGTGTCCAAGATTGAGGGGGCCCAGCACGTGTTGTGCGTGTGTGACGTCATGTGCCCTTAATGTGTTGCTTGTGTGTGATGTCATGCGCCTGGTGTGCGACATCATGTGCACACACCATGTGCACTATGTGACATTCTTGGAAGGAAACCAAGCGCAGAGTGGGTTCAGTGGCCTTCAGCTCCTCCTCTCACACGCTTGGCTCCGCGCTCAGCCTCCTCCATCCCTTCCATCTTGAGGGTGGGCAGCCCCCCCTGCCAACAAATATTGAGGGGGCCAAAGATACCTCGAAGGGCATTCTCAAGATATGTATTGTGGATTGGATACAGTGGTAAATTAAGAGCAATCTTGAATTAAACTTGCTAATAATAACCATCAGGACTTTCACTCTGCCTTGTTAAATAGAACTGCTCTTCCATGACGACCTGGAAACTCTGGGACTAAGAAAAGACACTGTTGGCCACAACTTGCAATCCAGTCATGCACAATTGATACAGGAGGGGTGTGTGGGGACAGATTTGCATTATAATGTTAATGGTTTAATGTGTGACTCACCAAGCTGAATGTAGCCTGCCAGCTGAATATTGTGGTGCTTCACACACACACATATCCCTTGTCCTAAGCAAAGAGCAGAAGCAGGAAGTTCTTCAAGCCCCTGACTCCCTGGTAGAACACAGAACCGTGGATAGGTGACATTCAGCCTAGTGGATCACAATATATGCAGGCCTAGTGTAGCACTCACTTGAACATCTTTGCGCTCTCGCTTTCTCTTGCACTCTCTCTCTCTCTCTCTCTCTCTCACACACACACACACACACACACTATACATCTAGGGTTGCCATTTGAACAAGTGGAAATGGAACATACAAGTCCTATGAATAACTTATCCAAGCAATGGGTGAAAATGGAATGAACAATGGAAACAATATATGAACATCCACCTTTTGCTGGCATAAATTCATTTCAATACTTTTGTGTTTGCTTTTTGCACAGCAAAAAGAAAGTATTTCCGATACTAAGAAGAACAAGTATTTGGTATTTTCCACTGACCCAATGGAATATAATATGTCACATCAAAGAGAACCAGATTCCCTGGTACATCAGTATACTTCTGCTGAAAGAACGAAATCACATCCTGTTCAGCCAATCGCATTCATACCATCGGATGCATTCGAGGAATGTAACGACAAGCAGAAACAAAAAGTAGTAAGTATATAAAAACCAAATTCACACCTGAAAACAAGGATTTTGCTTTAAAAAGAAAGGACATCATGAATACATGTGCTTTAAGCTGCCCAGAGTGGCTGGGGAAGCCCAGCCAGATGGGTGGGTTATAAATAATAAAATTGTTGTTGTTGTTGTTGTTGTTGTTGTTGTTGTTGTTGTTGTTGTTGTTGTTATACATGTAGGTAGATAAATACTGTACATGGATAGTTGAGATTACCACATTTGAAATAAAAACATCAGCTAGCAGCCTTAAGGGAAATATTCCCAAATCCACACTATTGGGTTTGTCATTGTGAAACCTTACTGACAGTACAATCCTATACATAGAATCATAGAGTTAGAAGGTACCCTGAGTATTATCCAGTCCACACACCCTCTGCAATGCAGGAATGTGCAGCTGTCCCATAGGGGGTTTAACCTGCAACCTGGGTGTTATCAGCACCATGCTCTAACCAACTGAGCTAAGCTGTGTAATGCCTGTTTAGAAGTGTGCCCCAATGAATTCATTGGAGTTTACTCACAGTATAGGACTGCAGCCCTGAGAACAGTGTTATGTGTGAATAATGGGTGATGCCCAACATTAGTTCCATTGGATGGTATGCAATGCTAGTCCTACACAAAATAGACCTGTTGGTAGTGAATCAACATGACTTAGATTCATTGATTTCAGTGAGGGTACTCTGACTAGGAATTAGTTGACTTCCACCCGTTGAAATTAATGGGTCTACTCTGAGTATGACTAATGCAGGACACCACCCAATGGAATTACAAGCCTGGCATGCTTCTGAGGGACCACCCTTTCCAACCTCCACTGTCTGAAGAAAGGACGATCCTCCATGGCCAAACATTCCTAGGGACTGAAAACTAACATTCCAGAGAATTTACCACAAATTAAGTTTATTTTTGCCTTTCAAACTTCTGCATTTGGGTTGAAGAAAAGAATTTGCAACATCAGGGAGAAGAAATTAAGCCACATGCGCTGATGTTAGTAATGAAGACAGCAGGGAGTTCCGATAGATAGATTTGATGTCAAAAGAAAATTACTCTTTGGTGAGACAGAAATTATCTCACTTGAATAATATTTTTCCTGAAGCTCTTTTCTCAAAACCGATGGCAGTCCTTCCAAAAAAGAGAAAGAACAAGAGAGGTTCTTGGCATCCAAAAGATCTTCCCAGATTTCTGAGTTTCCTTTTAATGCAATAAACTGTGTCCTAACGAAACACTTTCTGGAGAGCCGGTTTATGTTGTTGTTAATCCAATAAAGGGAGAAAGGACAGGGTTAAGTTTTGTATATGGATCCAGCACATTGAAAAGGGGCAGAGCTCAGTATATTAGCAGTGTCATCATATTTCAGTCAGTAATCATGATGAATTAAAGCAGGCAATCATGAGCAGGGCAAGGCAAAACAAATACAGAAATATACTTATTGGCTCTCAAAATTCAAAAAAGCTGTTGGGCACCCACTTCAAGAGATGATTGGATAGATGTTAGTGATATAGTGTAGTAGTAGATGAGAGCCTATTCTCCGAATGTGCTTACTTCCATATAATCTTGCTCAATCAACAAATATAATACGAAGTGGTCAACTGTGCTGTTCACTTGTGTCTTGGAAAGTGGGCTTCAATTGTTTCAAATACTTGACTGGAATAAGCAGAAGTACCCAAGACGTCCTGTGATAAATAAGGGCATTGTGCTTTATGAACAGACTGTTTCCCTCATAAGCTGCTTAAAATCTTTTCTAATGTTTCAGTTCTATTTTTTAAAAAGCCATTAAAATTACAACATGGGTAGCACAGAGGATGGTGACAATATGAGGCCAGGGACTGTTTGAAAGACTAGCAAGTAGCTGCCCTGAATTGTAATCCTCAACAGGACTAGTGATCTGGTTTGTATCCTTATTTAAATATCACCATCTCCTGCAGGCTTCTTCGTGTTCAGCCTTTTTTTTAAAACTGGCTTACTTTGACAAATTTATAAGCATTGAGGTCTGTCTAGAATCAGTTCCAAGGTCTTCTTGCTCTCATTCTCTTTCCTGCTCCCCAAACTGCATTCTAGAATTTTTGCTGCTGAAGCAAAAGCCTTGTGAAAAAGGAAACTCTGAAGCAAAACATTACCAAATATGTCTGCTCTCCTGCCCATGTCTTTTTTATTTCCACAGGAAAAGCCTCCAGACGCTGGTGACGACAGGCTAACCAATGAACAAGCAGCAGAGGCTCTCGTCACTGGGAAACAGGAGGGCGAGCGCCTGCCAAGAGCTGGTCTCACGAAGAGGAAGCCCTTGTAGGTACCACAGTCAGCTAGAGTAAAAGGGACACTGTCAGCTGAAACGTCAGCATAGTCAAAGCGTATCTGTTTGAAATTGTGGCCTACCTTCGGGAATGTCTCTTATTTTCCTAGCCAACTTCTCCCACTCTTAAAAAAAAAAAGTTCTCTTTTTCTTTTCAAGCTGCACTTCGCAGTCAGACACATGCGCCATGTGTTCTTGTTTCTTCTCTACTTTGCATACAGAAGGTCCAAAGTTCAATTCTCAGCATCTCCCAGTAGGGCTGGGTGAACCTTCTGTCTAAACCCGTGGGTAGCCTCTGTCAGAAGATGGTCCAGTGGTCTGACTTGGCATAAGGCAGCTTTCTGTGTTCCTGTGTTCACCCTTCTTCATTTAATTTAAATCCATTACTTCTAGCCTTACTCCACTGGGCAACAGAAAACAAGTCTTTGTCCTCTTGTGACAGCCTTTTAGGTACAGTGGTGCCTCGCAAGACGAAATTAATCCGTTCCGCGAGAGTCTTCGTCTAGCGGTTTTTTCGTCTTGCGAAGCAACCCTATTAGCGGCTTAACGGATTAGCGCTATTAGCGGTTTAGCGGCTATTAAAGGCTTAAAGGCTTAGCGGATTAGCTGCTAAAAGGCTATTAAAGGCTATTAAAGGCTTAGCAGATTAGATAAAGGGGGCGAAAGCGAAAAAAAAATCTCAAGACTTGCAAGACATTTTCGTCTTGCGAAGCAAGCCCATAGGGAAATTCGTCCTGCGAAGCAACTCAAAAACGGAAAACCCTTTCGTCTAGCGGGTTTTCCGTCTTGCGAGGCATTCGTCTTGCGGGGCACCACTGTACTCATCCTCCTCTCCTCTGGTGTTCTTCTGTTCTCCAGGCTTAAATATGCCCAGTTCCTTTACCCTACCTTGTAGGAGGGCAGTTATTTATTTATTTTTACCCCAAAACCATATTTGTTCACCTATGAACAATTTGTTTACATCTTTCTTAGCATGGAAAAATATTGTTGGTTTTATTTTAGAATGCTACATGAGCGAATGTGTCTGCCATTTATTTTCGAATTGCTTGCTTATGCAGTTATGTAACTGGATGCTAAAAGCAAATAATTTAGTTTGAGATCTTGGACCCCATCGGTCTTAAAGGTAACGGGAAGAAGAAGAGATAGGACAAAATGTGGAACTCAAATTCTCTGAGCCCAGGTAGCTCCTACCTGTCTACCAGATCCTTTAAATTGTGATAGGCAGAGCCCGGCTGCAGTCTGGAAGGGGGGAGGTGGATTCAATGCTTGTTGATAAGTGCATCTCCTCCATGTACTATTTCCTTCCTCATGCAAGTCAGCCATGCAACTGCAGGAGAGGACACTGCTGTCAGAGCAGGAGTTCCCCAGGCCCACCTCGTCCAAGCTCCTTTCTTACTCCCCAAATATACTGTAAATTGCAAATTTAAAGGACAGTGGGATAAGTTGAGTGCACATCCATATATGCAGTCAAGTGGAGATACAGCCTATTGGTGATGCATTGCTTTTAGTAGAAGCCGCACAGTTTTGTATCCAAGTGCTCATTCCGCAGAAATCAGTGCCATATAATTATAAAATATCTGCTCTCAAATGGACATTTGGAAGCCCATCTAAATGCAGATGTTGTCAGCATCAGTTCAGTTCTGTTAGACAGCATCTGTTTTCGGATGCACATTTTGATGTGCGTCTGATTTAACCTGGCACAAACCATGAACATTTTTTCATGGGTCTAAGCTTGTTACATATTTATTCAAGGAAAAAGTCTCTGCTACAAAGAATTTACACTGTTGTTCCAGCTTGCCCTGCATGGCTTTAGGTCTTGGGATGAAGCTGTGATCTGAAAATTACTTTTCCATATATTTATGAGTGTTTTTGAGTGCATATATGATGCTATTAGAATAACAAAATCTGCATGTCCACTTTGAGTTTATTTTGGTCTCTGCATGGTGCTCCACACCACTCAAAAAGTAAACATGACAGACACAACATCTAACATCTGTATTTAGTAATGCCTCTGTTCACAGCATCAGCAAAACGCAGCCTGGGGCTGCTTTTTATGTGGAGGCACTTTCCCCTAAAAATAGATATGTTCTCCCTCCCCTTTGAATGTGTCCATTTCTGCACAGTGGGGACATCACACAAAGGGGGGAAATGGCACCAAATTGCACATGCCAATCTGCTCTGAGAGTTAACTCTCCACAAGTTAATTCTTCCAGTCCTGTGCTCCCAGAAAAAGAAGAGCCTGTGTAAAGATCCTTGTATGTTTCTTTGGGAAAGTGATTCCTTAGTTTCTTTGAGCTGCTCTTTGTTGGAACTTTTAGGGTCCATCACTATTTTGAGGTAGGATTGAATCACTTACTGGCAAATTTGGGTTATGCCGTTAAAGTGGATTTGGTGCTCTTGCTCAGCAAACCTGTTCCCCCATCCCAAAAAGAGAGTGGGAGTTTTTCTGATAAAGGAGGTGGCAGGAAAGTATATTGAAAAGTATGGGTTAGGTGTAGGATTGCTTGAAGTGATATCACGCCAACAAACAAATCAGAATGAATGTTTAATCAACAGATGATCAGGAAGTGAACTAAATTTCCCTTCCTAATTATTATGCTGGACATTGACTAGGGTGGGTGAATACTCTCCATTTCCCCTTTGCTTTGTCGGGCACAAACATAGATGTGAGCACGTGTGTTTGGTTTTAATGGTTTGGTTTCTTTGTTTCCATGAGTTCACAGGCCAAAGAGACAGTAGGGAAGAGAACAAGGCCCCTCCCTTCTCATGCAAGCTATTTCAAACTATTAGGTGCTTGCCTCCAGTAAAGTAACTGTTATCTTAAAGCATCTTCCTATCACATCCAAACCAAGTGGCCTGTGATAAACATGAATGCCACCACAGTTACTTGGACATGTGGGCGTGTACTGGAGAAAGTGCACCCCACTTTATGTGAGCATAGAGGATTTTCAGACCTTACTCTTAGCCCAGGCCTCCTCAAACTCGGCTCTCCAGATGTTTTTGGCCTACAACTCCCATGATCCCTAGCTAGCAGGACCAGTAGTCAGGGATGATGGGAATTGCAGTCTCAAAACCTCTGGAGGGCCGAGTTTGAGGAAGCTTGTCTTACCCAGATAGATGGGTCTCATCAACTTGGGAAGGTAGCCCATCTAGGAGGAGGAAAACTCTGATCCTAAAAAT